ATTTACAGGATGCGGCACGCGAATGTGTAATTTACCTGCCAGAATTGCCATTCGTTGAGGATCTAATCCTGGACGTGTATAATAGGGATTAGAAGTCAAAATTGAATTACTCAGTTCGTCCACTGAGAATAGAATTTTCAAAATTGTTCGAGCATATTTTTTATAATCAGCGGTTTTAGCAACATCCAGTAAGTTGATTCCTTTGAATTCCTGTAGAACAAAGTTAGGGATTCATTTAGATTATGGATTGAATTACCGAAATAGCTTACAACTACTTGTGGATAATCATCATAGACATTCTGATAAATTGATAATGTTGGATTATACTAGTAAACAAAAGTAGAAAGCGCAGATGAATATTTTAGATTGGAATGAATTATCTTACTGAATTATCGTGTACACGTTTGTTTAATGATCTTAATTGTTTATCAAGTCTATCCATTTGTGTTTGTACACTACCGACTAATGCATTTGTTGTTTTAACCAAGTCTAAATGGATTGTAAAATGCACGATTGTTAGAGTTAATTTGATTACACTCGGATATGTCATTGTGAAAGTGTGGAGTAAATCGAAAAAATAGTGTTTAGTGGAAGTGTCTAGTATAAAAACTACTTACCGGCTCGTAATTGATCGAATTTCTCGTTGAAGTAAAACTGTTAGAGAAGGTTAGCATCGTTAGTATCACTTCCTAAAATTTAATGAGTATTGTATATGAAGAAAAGCTTAGAATAAATGCCATGTGAGTTGACATGGTAATTTTTAAAAAAGTACATTCATTATTGAGCGATTCGTTTACCTTTATCATCTTCATCTTTTGAATCTGCATCATCGACTTCATGAATCATATTATAAGAACGAATGTTGTTTCGATGAGTATTATTATGTCCACTAGCTCGTTGTTGTTTCTATATTACCTGCTTCTGTAATTCATCTTCATCAACATCATTTTGTGTATATTGATGAGTATCAAAATCTGAGAAAAGAAAATAGAAATTATGACAAGTTATTTTTACTTTACTTGATTCATTTTCTTCGTCATTCTTATCAAGAACGTTCATTGTATTCATGGATTGTGTACGAAGGACATTTTGACTTGGTTGATGTTTTAATACAGAATTATGATTATCATTGGAACGATAAGCAGTAAATTCAGCTGAAAAAGTAAAGATATATCTAATCATTTTAATAATGTTCGTCGATAAGCTCTTAAACTATATACACGTTTGGATTTTAAATTTGTATATTACACTACTTTTTGGTAGAAAAAAAATATCAAGTTCTTCTGTCATTAGATGAAGACAATAGAATCTCGATAAACTCTTATGTGGACTTTGTTTAATTCCTTGATTTCCATTTGCAAATGTCATAGAAGACGATGGTAAATCGAGACGAATGGAGGTTGCTGCTTTATTTAAGGCGAAATTAAAGAAAAAGAACAAAAACTGTTTTTCAAAATTAAATAAAAAAAAATACTTGGTAGCAAATTAGTTTGTTTTGATTTCTTTTTTTTGTGTTAAATCGAAATTCTCTAAAAAAGTAAAAGTAGTATAAAATTAACTCTCCATGGCAAAGCAATTCTCACTATTTGTTGCTTTTCGTTTAGACTTTTCTCTGAAATCAATCATTTTAGTCGATCGATCTTGAGTTGCTACTTGACTAAAAGTTTTTTTATGTGTTATGCTGTGTGTAGAATTTTGTAAATGAACCATTTAATAATCTGAAATATAGATAAAATAGTAATGAAAAGAAATAATATAAAACGAAATAGACGACATTCTCTGCATGTAGTCGCATGAAACGAACGACTGAATAGAATGTTTAACAAAGAAGCCATAAAAAATAAACAAGTGCTCATACCAAACTAACCAGGTGCTTAGAAATAAGAATTTCTCAATCATGTTCAGTAATTGAAGATATAAGAGTTGCAAGAATAAATGCTTTTTCTCAGATATCTCGAAATATAATCATATGTTTTTCGATCTTCTCAACCAAAACAATTCGA